TCTTCTTCACACAGGTGGGGGATTGTGGGTGTTGAATACTATACATAATATACATATGCATATACATAATATGTAGTACTCAACTAGTGTGGGGGGGTGTGTGTATATATATATTGCTATCAAATAAGACTGCTGTGTCAGTTATGAATCCCTCCCCCTTCCTCCCCACTTAATTTCTGTTAAAAAGCGAAGTCTCACTAGGTAGGAGGAGGGAGGGCCATATCTGAAAACAAAAAGTAGTGGAAAACATATCATTAAATATTGAGTTTCAAAAGTAAAAAGTGAACAGTGGCCTGTAATCAGGGCACTGATTCTGAATTGCAGCTACCATTACCTATGACACACAGGGCCATTTCCTTAAGCTCTCGGGGCATCGGGCTCCTCATCTGTAAAATGGGAGGACCAGACATGAGATGGATGCCGTATTCCTGGTTCAGTTTGATGTCTCTTTCCATCTCTAGTAATCTAGGGCACCTAGATTCAAATTTGGGAACTGGCAATGACTGTAAAAAGTTTAAATTAGCAACTAAGCCATCCAGCATCCAGTTGAGTGTCCGTTAACACAAGTGGCCAAAATAAATAACATACAGTCTGCTAACAAGTTAACACAGTGACACAATCGCATTTAATCTCCATTCAAAACAACGGAAATCATTTGTGGATTACTTACTTCATCAGGTAAATGCAAGGCCAATGCTTTGTAAATCTTAAGGTGCTTTATCAATGTGAGTAATTCTCATGTGCCCATAATGCCATGGAAAAAAAGATATTCCCAAAGATTTAAGTTACATTTCAACAGTCCTAAGTTCCTCAACCGGTTTTACAAACTAACTGATGATGTAATAACGGCTGGCACACATACTATGCTTTAAGATTTGTAAAGCACTTTACAAATGTTGCTGTCACAGCAAAGCTGAGATGCAGATGCTATCATTATTCCCATTCCACAAATAAGGAAACTGAGGTAGACAGAAGTAAAGTGACTTTCCCAGGATCACAGTTATTAAGTATCTGAAGCAAGATCTGAAATCGGGATTTCCTATTTCAAGGTCCAGGAGGCTATCCATGTTTTAGTAACTGGCATTTTCTATAATTGATTTATTAATAGCTATGAGTAACAGAAAAACACTAACTCAAACATGACTCATTCTGAATACCTGGAATTTAAACAATTTCTAAAAAGTAAGCTGGATAAACAGAATCATTCAACGAAACCAAACAATTGCAGCTCCTTTTCCACGGCCCCTCTCATTTCTTGCATTTCACAGGATAGTTAAAGCTCCCTCCAGGGGCAAGGGCCAGACCTGGGATCTTGTCAACCTGGGCGACTCTTGGACGAGGAAGGTCCATGAACCACAGCAGGCACCTCCTCTTCAGCCTGCAGCACTGAGCCATCTCGTCAAACTATCCCATAAGCTGCCCAAGGTCCTGCCACCACATTATGTCAGAGGTCAAGGCACAGGCAGTAATGGAACACAGCCTCTCTCACATCTTATAGAACTCTTTTTTTGAACTGGATGCCAAGGATTCCAAGCCTAAAAATGAAGTCACTTTACAAAAACCCAAACTTGCCCTATGCTACAAATCTCCTGTACGCAAGGGCATTTCCCCAAAGTGGCGGGATGCTGGGTTTTGAGGGATAGCCATCCAATTCTTCACTCCATACATATAAAAGAACCAGCTGATACAACATTAAGTCCCAACTCACCCCAGGGTTATTTCATGCTTCCACTGTTTCATGGAGACCCTGTGAAACGCAAGAAATAGGAAGGGCACAAAGACGGAGTTACCTGGTGCCTAGGACGAAGACGCTGTCGTTGAGGTGAGCACAGAACAATGACCACAGCCCATCTACTCCTTTTTTCACATCTAAGGGGAAGGGAGGGCAGAAGTCCTAAAACGTAACACGAGGTATTGATGAAGCATTCATGCGACTGATGAGTGAGAAATTCTCTGCGGCAAGGAGGCAAAGCACAGGGCCCCAAAGAGTCAGGCTCCTGCTCTTCTCTTCCTCCCCCCATTCAGAAGTTCCAAAATGGGGAGATCCAAGTCTTCTATCTTTCCTTCGAAGGGGAGCTCCCTGATAAGCAGGAGACACACACGTGAGACAAACAGGACAGAGACTTGGTCTGAGGAGCAGCTGCAGGGAGCGGGGCTGGCCGGCCAGGGAGACAGCAGGAGTCCTCGGCAAACTCCACGAGCCAAAAGCCTTCCAAGGCCCCAGGCCTCCGCAGGAGTGGCGAGCTAGCTGCCTCTGCCTCGTGTGCTTCTCCATCAACGTCCTCCAAGGCAGACCGGACCTCCCACGGTCACTGGGCACCTGCGGGACGCAGCTTCCGTGGACTGTTTGAATTTGAGCACGCTCCTTGGCAAAGTCTCCTGGCTGATGAAGAGTGGCAAGGGGCCTCCGAAGTGCAGACCCACAGGGTTACCCCAAGAACCCGAGTTCCCTATTGGATGTTCTATACTGACACACCCTCATCAGTTTCACATTTAATGTGTAATCTCCATCATGATTACTAAGCTTTTTAGATAGCTTTTTGTTTACTTTTATAAAGTAATGTGATACCAAGAATATATTTTGGTTACTTTAAAAATTGTATAACCTAAAAATGCTTTAAACACCTACTTTGGCTTAATTATGCCCATCTAATGTTCCATGCCAGCACAGTGGGTCATGGTACTTCAGACCATTGCAGGTCAAACTGTTCATATCAATCCTGGGATTAAACTACGCCCCCCCCCACCCGCCCCGCATTTAGCTCTTGGCTTTATACAAGTATCTCCATTCTTGTAACACACTGCATCTGAATGACCAGTCAGGGGACCAAGAAGCTCTCTAACCCTGAGCTCCCATACAAACTCAAGGCTGCACATGCCCCCTCAGACTATCTGGATTTGAGGAAATCTTCCACACCAAGACCTTAGGAACTAAGGGGCAAAGTGAAAAACAAGATACAGAAGCACAGATACAAGACAGAATTATTGCTTAGAACTCGGACACCTCCAACTGGACGTCCAGCAGACATTTCAAACTCCACATATCCAAAACCAAATTCTCAGTCTTGCCCCCAAACTCTTCCCTTCCGTGACTTTCAAGGGCGGCAGGCTCCTCCCAGTCCTTTGGGCTTCCAAACTAGGTGGCATCCTGGGCTCCCAGATCCAACATGGTGCTAAGGTCTGTCAATTTCACCTTTTACAGCATCTCCCAAATTCCCCCCTCTCACCTCCCCTCTGACTCTTCTGATCCTGGTGCAGGCCCTGGTCACTTCACAACTGGACTAGTACCACAGCCACCAAAGTGATCTTAGAGGCAGCTAGTAAGCACCACAGTGCACAGAGTGCTGGGCCTAGAGTCAAGTCAGACACCCGCCAGGTGTATAACCCTAGGCAATTAAGTCATTGAACGCATCTGCCTCAGTTTCCTCCCTCATCTGTAAAATGGAGATAATAATAGCACTGACTTCCCAGAGTTGTTGCAAAGATTAAATGTGAATATCAGTAAAGCATTTAGACCAACGCCTGACACAACATAAGTGCTGAATAGATGCTAGTCCGTACCTTCCCTCCTAAAGACAGGTCTGACTATGTCACCCACCCCCCTCCCATTCAATAAATTCTGGTGGTTCTCTATGACCTCCAGATCAAATATAAAATCCTCTCTTTGGCATTCAAAGCCCCTCATAACTTGCCCATCCACATTTTTCCCAGTCTTCTCATACCTTACACCCTCTCTACCCTGCCCCACATTCTACAACTCAGTGACTCCAAGCTCTGTGCTGTCACAAACCCAAGACCCTCCATCTCACAACCCTGAGAATTCACTCTGGCTGGCTGCCCCACACCTACAACACCCCCTCTCCCTCCACCTGGCTTCCTTCATGAGCCAGCTAAAATCTCACCTTCTGTGAGCAGGCTTTGACTCCCCTTAACGTCAGAGCCTGTGCTCTGATGACAATTTCCCGTTTATCCTGTATAGAGAATATCTGTACACAGTATGTACATGTCATCTTCCCCCACTGGGTGGTGAGCTCCTCCCAAAGCAAGGGATTCTTTTGCAAAATCAGCATTTAGCCTATGTGCCTGGCACACAGTAGGCACTTACTAAATGCTTACTGACTGACAACAGCCAAGTTCTTCCGGTTAACCCTAACTCACCATTTTGTCCTACCTCACTCTCTGTAAAGGTAGCCCCAAACCCCCTTCTCCTCACTTCCTTCCTGTTGTCCTCCCATAATGACTGGGGGGGTGAAGGGGAGCACAATGAGCCCATGGGCACCAGATCAGCTCCTTTCTTCCAAGTTATCCTTGGGCACACACTTGCCAGAAGACAGATATTCTGGCTCTGTGGCAACTCCTCTACATCTCTGGGATTGGGAACATAGCAAGGAAAAAGGCTTGGGGTTTGGGGGTTTAAGGCACTGAAAAAGGAGGGAAAAAAATTCCTGACACAGCTATCCACATCTGTCCTTAAAAGGCTTTTTTCCATTCTCTTTCAACTCCTGTGATTATGAAGGAGACACAAAATGAGCAGCCAATCTCCCCAATGGCTACCTGTACATAACAAGTCTAAAATATACTTCCTTTGGAAATGAAGATTATCTCCAACGAAGGAGGGCTACCAGTCAGAAAACAGCGTGACAGAAGTATAGTCACAGTACAAAATACAGATATGCCATGTTTTATGATTCCTTCCTCAATATTTTGTATGAAGATGGGATTTTTCTCAACTGAACTCTTTTTAGAGGAGCTCATTATTTAAAGAACTTTATGGTAAATCTTTGTAGAAAAGTGAAGACTCATTTTATAATACAAATTAAACATTCCTCAACGTGTCCACTTCATAAATTCAGATTTTTTTATATGTTGAATTTTGTTATACAAGTCAGACTTGTATGTGGTGTGTATTCATATTGTGTATGTGTATGTGTATGTGAACTTTTACATCTCAAACATGACGCATAAAGCGGTACTTAGGTAATAACAACATGGTCACTTACTGTTTGAATTTTCTTCTCGTACCACTTCTTCATCGATGTCCAATGCTTTTATTCTGGTACAAAGGTTGTATGTTTCCCATACTCCTCCTGGTGGCAGGTTTTCAGGAATATTTTTGATGCAACTAGGTTCATTCGTCATGTGATTATGTTGTTCCCAAAATGCATTTCTCTCACATGTCTCAAACTTTATACTTTCAGATCTGTGTTTTCCATTTCCAACTTTCTTCCTCAGGGTTAAGTTTCTGGAACAAAAACAAGTACTAGGGGTGGCCTCCCCAAAAATATTTTTGTAGACATCTTTCCATGGAATAAATTTCCAGTGCTGTGGTCCCTCTTTCCCTGTGCAAGTCAAAAGTACACTTTCATTCGGGAAAACCTTATCTAATAGTGGATAAAAGTGCCTTCCCTGCAATTTATACTCGATTTTAGTAGACTGGATGCTATTCACTGCTACAAAACGAGCTGCCTCTTTAGAGAAGACGGCATGCCCAGCTACCACGAGCAGGTCTGCTATGCTGCTTTTCCCATGTGTGACCTTGACTTCCAGTCTCGTCCCAGGGCTGGATTCCTGAAACTGAAAGAACAAACCCGGCTTGCTCAGTAATTCTTGAAAAAAAGCTTTCGCACCATCCTCCCAGTGGTGCCCATTAGCAGGTAGTACACCGTATAAAGCACAGCGGTAAGTCAGCCGCGGCAAACTCGAAAGCTCCTTGGGAAGGACCTTGAGGTTAGCACACTCTGAATGGGGAACACAGACAGAAAACCCATAGTCTATAAACAGAAGCAGCACAGACTGAGTGGAGACTTCAGAAATTTCTACCCTGTTCCACTGGCCTTCCCACCCGTATCGGAACAAACAGCTGGACCCTGGAACGACCAGTTGTGGGGGCAGGGTGGGTAGGTGATCGGGCAGAGCCAAAAGCAGCCTGCATAGTGACGTCATTGTGTCAAAGAAGTCCTCCGGCTGCACACAGAAGTCAGAGGGATCAGAAATGGCCGTGGCAAAGCCTCCATACTGTTGGCCACTCTGAAGAGGGGCCCACCTAATGGGGTTCACTCTGAAGGCCATCACGGGGCTCTTCGACTCCATGCTACGAATCTCGGAATGATTCTGCTTGGTTTCCTCGCTCTGACTAACTCTAAAGTTTAGGTATTCCAATAACAACAGACCATCCACCAAGATCTCTACTTCCCAAGCAACATGGAGATAGCGGAGGAACAGGATCTTTGTTTCCAAGTGTGCAAACAAGTGTGCTGTAGACACAAACGTCATCTTTCTGGCATTTTTGATCCAAATCCATTTGCAAGGCACGGCTTGTTGGGGAATGCTTCTGATCTCATGGTCAAGCTCCTTCGTCCCCAGCAAGGGCACCACTTCATAGCGGCCACAGTCCAGCAAATAAACGAGCATCTTCTCCTCTCCCAAACGCTTCTCCACCTTGGCGCGGCACCATGATGCTGTGACTCTGGATTTTGTCAAGCACTCCAAACCTTCTTCTATATTTTCCACAGGCAGGAAAGGGTTTTCCTTGGCTGCTTTAACGATCAAGGAAAGCAAGCTGGAGGACACTTGTGCATTTTTACTTAGTCTCACAGAGAAGCTTCCACATTGTGAAACGTGAAGTATCTCGGCCTTCTCAAGCTGTCCAGGCTTTAACTCGGGACTCGGGATTTTAGCTGGCTGGTAGCAGGACGTTCTGGGGCGTTGACTTTCATCTGACCTTTTCTTCTCTTTGTTATCAATATCCAGACTCACTTTTTTAGAGAGAGTTTCAGGTGTTTTTGATACTTTCTCTTGCTTCTTTGAACATGCTATCCATTTCATCATTTCATTAACAACACACTTCTCATCACAAATAATATTTACTTCCCATTTTTGTTCATGCTTCTTCAAAAACTCACAAGAGATTAATTTGTTATTTACTTTTTCAGCAAAGTAAGCTACTGTTTTGCTGTCCCATAATTCATCAGGCTCATTATATCTTACTCCACTAAGAAAAGAACGCAGGCCAAGCTGAGGAACAGTCAAAAATTTCCTATCGAGTTCATGGATTTGGGACAAATTTACAATTTCTGTGTTACCATAGTCGATAAATTCCACTTCAAAAGAATCCCTTGATACAATGTTCTTAATGACTGCTCTATATGAGTTATTATCAATAGCGTACTTTGCAACCACGAGATCTCCCACTGAAAGTGCGATCGATTCACTCACTCTGTCCAGATCTGCCATCCTTGCATTTAGTTCTTTTTCAAGCTTAAAGATCAAGTCTTCACTCTCGGCAAGCTGGATGTGGAAACTTGCTGGACTCCATATGTTAGATACGTAGCCCTTAACTCTGGCATTCAGGCGGACAGGAGGAGGAGGAAGGTCGGAGATCTGGGGTCTGGCCACATTCTCTGCTAGTGCGGGAGGTGAGCACTGTCTGGCTACACAGGTTTCTGATGCAGCACACACTGGTGTTCCTTCACTAATTAAGTCAAGTTGGGAAACAGAGTCAGGGCTAGTTTTTCTATTTGTATTTTTTAGTCCCTCCTTTGAAGGCTGGTTCACCTTGCTTTCTAAAACCGGCTCAATTTTAAGAGAGGCTGTTGATTTTGAAAGTTTGACATGTACATCTCTGGAATTCACAGTTTGGTATACTTTGTTTTCAAGATGACTGGGATAACTAGTTTTAGTTATGGAAGAATGACAGCGGTCTGCTTTGTCTTTTGATGGTGCCCTACTCAACATTTTATTTTCACATTTCTTATGAAACTTTTCCACACGTTTTCCTCGGTCATATTTTTTCCCATAAACTTGAAGCAAAGTCTTAATTTTCCGATTTATCTGCTGATTTCCATCATAGAGTTCTAAGCCAAGCTGGGCATCTGAATCCCTAGACACTACCACTGCTTTCAGTGGTTTTCCCAAAAAGTTTTCTTCAAACCACATGTTGATCTCTGCTGGAATGTCCACATCCTTAAGGTCTGAGAGATAGCACTTTATTGCCTGCATAGGTGTAAAAAGCAACTCTTGACAGTGATCTAAAATAGGTATTAATTTATCTCCTTCTACTACTTGTTTATTTCCAAAGTCCACAAAGTATGCTAGTAAATAGGATGATAAATCCACAGGAGATACAATTGCTCTGTAAAAGAAATCATCTTCAAAGTACCTAGACAAGCATAATCTTGTCTTGCCATCAAACTTTGGATAATTTGAGAGGTTATTAATCTCTGCAATTTTTGCTGTTACTATCTCCAGACTTCGACTATTTCTCCTCAGCTGACAATAAAACTTTTTCGGACTTTGGATGTGGGATATACATACTTCTTCTTCACTTCCAATTTTTAAGTTAAAAGAAGAATAACAGAAGCTGTAAAGGCTCACTGATGCTGGCAAGGACTTCAGAAAGGCGCTGTGTTGGGCACAGCCACAGCTGACCAGAAATTCTCGGGCAGTGATGAATGGAGTCTGCAAGTCGACTATGTTGCACAGACAATTTGGGTGTATTAAAACCAACGCGTAGATGATGCAAGTCAACAGTCCGTCATAGGAAGAAATGAAGTTTCCGAAATCCACACAAGACTTCGCTGTCCAACTGAATGACTCAGGATTAATGGGTTCAATTAAATTGTTAAGACTACATCTAAATGCCTGGCCCTCTAAAGTAAGAAAGTCTGGGTTAATGGCACGAAGATCTTTAATTAAGATTCTTTCCTGATTTCCATAGTCGACAAAGATGACATCCACTTCTCTGGGGGACACCTGAATCAGAACAGCTGCTCGGTACCACTTTCCGTCTTTCACGTACCGGGCAACACAGGCGACCTGCCCGGCCTGATAAGGGTCACTATGGGTCCCGTAATACTTCTGCATCTGCTCCATAAGCACCATCAAGGCTGGTAACTTACTCTGCAGCTGGCAAGAAAAGTCTCCAGGGCAAGAGAAATATGAGCATTTAACATCAATAACGGTTCCAGGCTTGAACACGTATTCTTTGTATGGATGGAGAGGCTCACTTGCCCCAGACACATGCCCTAGATTTCTGGGAAAAGGGCTTTCTGACCCTGCAAAGGCAGCAATTGAGAATTCCGACTTGCTCGAAGAACCGTGGCCAGATATGGCTAAAAGAGGCGGCTTGGCTTGTGCAACTCCAATGTTGTGCTCAGGTTTTAAATCTGGTCCTAAAAAATCTGTTCCAAGTTTTGGAAGACATTCTGGTTTTACTTCCCAATATTCTGCATAACCAGCTTGCACCATAAGACCAACAACATTAACTTTCCCAGAGGCCTCAATGCACTGTACGTTAACAACATACTTGTCCTTTTTCTTGTCTACAACTTTAAGCAGGAGCGCTTTGTCAAACACTGTCTTTTTAAAAAAATCCGTTGCTTTCTTCACCCATATATCTTCTGTGGGACACACGTGAGCCAGCGAACAGCACATAGCCAGTGCCGGTAATTCACAAAATTCTCGCAGCAAAGTTTTTACATCATAAAATGGTACAGATTCAGTATTTCCAAAATCCAAAAAGTAAACATTAATCTTATAACCATTAACTTCAGTGATGACAGCTCTATAAAAATGCATGTCCTTGCTGTACCGAGCACAACAAAATAATCCAGGCTCTGGTTTTTTGAGAATCATTTCTTCCTTCTCACAAGAATCATACAATTCTCCTATCTTCTTCATTAAGTCCTGGAATCTGTTTTGATGATCATTGGTGCGTACCCAGAAATTGGATGGGTTAAGTACATACTCCACGAAAGCCACATAAGCAGAATTTACCTTCATTTCTACCGTCTTCCAGCGTATGGCCACCTTTGATAAAGGGTCTTTTTCCAGCGCAAAGTTTAATGGTGCCGAATCACTTGGAAAGCTCTCCACTTCAGGACCGTTACTGGGGAAGGGCTTTGTGCCTCCCAAAGGCTGAGGGCTTTCTCCCTCCAATATCGGGCTGCGCAGACTATGTGGCGGAGGGCACCTGTTTGCATGCAGCAGGTTCTTAGGGCTCATCACAAATTCTTGATTATGGAAAGTCACATAATACAAACGCTCCTCAGGATCGAACTGATCAATATGTGCAAACACCATCTGCCCTAACAAAGCTCGCTTAAATAACTTCAGTTGAAAATTCCTTACGTCTTTGTCTGGATTGCTGAAATGTGACAGAGAACAAGGGAAGGAAAATAATGGCCCTACACTGAACTCCTGCTTCAGTTTCTTCACATGCCGGGAGGGCACAGCCTCACTGCTGCCCAAGTCCATGAACCAAATTCTCACTTGGTCGTGGGGCAGGAGCTGCTGGAGAACCCCTCTATACCACTTCCTATTTCTCCTTTTGGCAACACAAAGCAGTCCAAAATTGTCACTTGGAGGATTTCTCTCTCTGCTGATTGCTTCATAGCGCAAAGACATTGCTGTTGTTAAGCTTTCCAGCTCTGGTAACCACTTCATTAAGTGACAATAAAATCTGGTGGGACTGACTGCAGAAGCGATCTTCACGCTCTCCGTACAGTTCACGGACAGAGACGGCTGCAAATTATCTAGGACGTGTTGATAATTAGGGGAAATCTCATTATTACTACATGAAGAGCCGGCTCTTTTATGTTGTTGCTGCGGCAGATCCGGCATTTGGGAACCAGAGGGATTAGGGGGAAATTCTTTTAGCATTTCTATAATAAGATGAAACGAATCTCCATCAACAAGCCTTCCTAACTGTAGCTCAAGAAGCTCGGAGATGATTCTTGGGACCTCCAGAAGAACCATTTGATGAGGCAGAATGGCCTGCACATGCCCCTTCACGTGGAGTCCTACTAATGACATGAAGTAATTTAAAGCCTTGGGAGACCACTTCTCCCCAAGAGGGAGTATGTTGGCAAAGACACCAACTGCTATCCTTGGAGGTAGCTCAAATAAGCTGTCACCTGCAGAAGCCACGTGGGTAGCACTGACTCTCAGTTCTTTTCCACAATCTATGAGAAATACTCTATAGGACTGGTTTTTATTTTCTACTACTTGTCCTCTATGCCATTCTCCAGATTCTCTTTCTTCCACCAAACAAAACTCCCCTACACCAACATTATCATATGCTTTGGGAATGTGCTGGATTTCACTCTGCAATATGTGGTAGTCAAACTCACATTCAACATCATATTTTCCTTGAAACTTCACCAAAATTTCCTTGGCAAGACATTCTATATGACAGATCTTCAGAGCCACACCCAAGGATGGTGGGAACAGAGGCTTAGAATTCATTGTCTGTAAAGCAAAAATTAAAGAAGGAATTAGTTTCTGAAGAAGTCAACTTAGGAGAGAAGACTCTGGGAAGATGGCAGAATAAGGCAGGAAATTCCCTGGCTCTCGAAAATTCCCCCACAAAAATGTAAAATGATGCCTCAAAGTGAACTTTGAGCAGCAGAAATAGTTAAGACAGCTTGGGAGGACATTAGGAAAAACCCTGTCTCTCGGGGTATAGTTTTGACTTCCATGTAGGTGTGGTGGAATCAACAAATGAGCCGGGGGCAGGTGCTGGGAGACTGCCTCAGCTTCAGAACTTTCACCTCACTGACAGGGTAGGACAGCACGGGGGGGTCAGACAGCTGGCCGGGGAAGATCACACAGCCCTGCACTGGCTCTGGACACCAGGCCCAGGTACGTTTATGAGATACAGTCCTAGGCTGTGGCTGTAGGCAAGGAAGAGCAAGCACACATGGGCGAAAGTGGTCACAAGGAGGGGAGCCTGCTGGCTATGGGCACCTGCAGGACAGCAAAGGCCCTGCTTTTGGTCCAGGGCAGAGCAGCGTGCTGAAGCTTGCAGCGGGAGGAGGGAGTGCAGAGAGCAAAAGGGTTTACTGTGACAGCATTGCTGCGGGACCTGGTCATGATTCAGGGGCAGAGAGGAGTAGCTGAAGTCAGGCTCCTGGGTGAAGTTCAGAAAAGAACAGCAAAAAAAACCCTGAAACCTGAGATATTATCTCCCCCACACCTTGGGACTAGAGCAGAACTCTAACACAAAGTTAACAGAAAAAAAAGAAAAAAGGCAAAAGAGAAAGAACCCTACCATAGATAGTTGCTATGGTGACAGAAAAGATCTGAGTTCAAACTCAGAAGATAACAAAGTTATCTTAAAACAGCTACTTCTAACTCAAATTAAAAAGCAAAATGGTCACAAGCCCAAAAAGAGTTTTTAGAAGAGCTTAAAAAGGACTTTAACAATCGAGTCAGAGAGGCTGAGAAAAAAACTGGAAAAAAATAGGAGCAATGCAAGAAAATTATGAAAAGAAAATCAACCAAGTGGGAAAAGAGATCCAAAAACTCACGGAAGAAAACAACTCCTTTAAAATTAGAATTGGGCAAGGGAAGTTAATGTCTTCATAAGACACCAAGAAATAATAAAACAAAATCAAAAGAATGAAAAACTATAAGAGAATGTGAAACATATCATTAGAAAAACAACTGACCTGGAGAACAGATCAAGGAAAGACAGATAATATAAGAAACGTTGGACTATCTGATAGTTATGATTTTTTAAAAAGTCTAAAAACTATAATTCAAGAAATTAAGGAAAATGCCCTGAAATTTTAGAATGATAGGGTAAAATAAAAATTGAAAAAATCCAACCACCATCACTCAAAAAGAGACAAAGATGAAAACTCACAAGAATATCAAAGCTACGATTCAAAGGTCCCAGGTCAAGGAGAAAGTACTATAAGCAATTAGAAAAAAAAAAAACAATTTAAATATTGTGGAGCTACAGTCAGGATAACACAAGATTTAGCAATTTCTATATTAAAAGACTGAAGGACATGGAATATTATATTCTAAAGAACAAATGAGTTGGGCTTCTAACCAAGAATAACTTACCTGGCAAAGCTGTACATATTAAAAAAAAGATATTTAATGAACTAAAGGACTTTCAGATATTTGTGAAGAAAGGACCAAAACTGAATGGAAAATTTCACCTACCAGATTCAGGAGAAACATAAGTAAACATTAAAGGATTTAATGAGGTCAAAATATTTACTTATAATATGGAAAAATGTTATCTACAACTCTTAAGAATGTTATCGACTTCCAGGAGCCAAGATGGTAGAGTAAGAAGTAAGTAGCTCTTACTAATAAATAGAGTCTTCCTTAAAATAAGTAGCATCTATTGAAAACCATCAGTAAGCATAATGTGTAATGGGGATAAGCTAGAAGAATTCCAATAAGATTGGGAGTAAAACAAGAATGTCCATTATTACCACTGTTATTCAATACTGTACTAGAAATGTTAGCTGTAGCAATTAGAGAAGAAAAAGAAATTGAAGGAATTAGAATAGGCAAAGAAGAAACAAAGCTATTACTCTCTGCGGATGATATGATGATATACTTAGAGAATCCTAGAGAATCGAGTAAAAAAACTACTTGAAATAATAAACAAATTTAGCAAAGCTACAGGGTATTAAATAAGCCTAAATAAACTATCAGCATTTCAGTATATTACTAACAAAGCCCAACAGCAAGAGACAGAAAGGGAAATTCCATTTAAAGTTACTGTAGGCATTATAAAATATTTGGGAATCTACCACAATTATAAAATAGTTTTCATACAAATAAAGTCAGATCGAAATACTTTGAAAAACATCAGTTGCTCATGGGTAGGCCAAGCCAATATAATAAAAATGACAATTCTACCTAAGCTAATTTATTCAGTGCCATACAAATCAAATTACCAAAAATTATTTTATAGAACTAGAAAAAAATAACAACAAATTTTATCTAGAAGAACAAAAGACCCAGACTATCAAAGAACTAATGAAAAGAAATGCAGGGGAAAATGGCCTAGCCATTCCAAATCTTAAATTGTATTATAAAGCGGCAATCATCAAAACCACTTGATACTGGCTAAGAAACAGAGTGGTGGATCAGTGGAATAGGCTAGGTACGCAAGACGCAGCAGTCAATGACTCTAGTAATCTACTATTTGATAAACACAAAGACCCCCAGTTTCTGGCATAAGAACTCACTATTTGACAAAAACTGCTGGGAAAACTGGAAAAGAGTATGGCAGAAACTAGGCACAGATCAAAATCTCACACCATATACCAAAATAAAGTCAAAATGGGTTCATGATTCAGATATAAAGGCTGATGCTATAAGCAAACTAGGAGAGCAAGGAATAGTTTACCTGTCATATTTATGGAGAAGGGAAGAATTTATAACCAAACGAGATAGAGAAACTTATGAAATGCAAAATGATTGATTACATTAAATTGAAAAGTTTTTGCACAAAGCCAACACAACCAAAATTAGAAGGGAAGCAGAAAACTGGGAAACAATTTTAACAGACAGTATCTCTCATAAAGGCCTCATTTCTAAAATATATAGAGAACTGAGTCAAATCTATAAGAATACAAGTCATTCCCCAATTAATAAATAGTCAATGGATATGAACAGGCAGTTTTCAGATGAAGAAATTAAAGCTCCTTATAGTCGTATGAAAAAAATGCTTTAAATCACTATTGATTAGAGAAATGCAGATCAAAACAATTCTGAGGTACCACATCACACCTATCAGATTGGCTGACAAGACAAAACAAATGATAAATGTTGGAAAAGGTATGGGAAAATTGGAACACTAATGCATTGTTGGTGGAGCTGTGAACTGAACCAACCATTCTGGAGGGCAATTTGGAACGATGCCCAAAGGACTACAAAACTGTATGCCCTTTGACCCAGCAATAGCACTTCTAGGGCTGTATCCCAAACAGATCATACAAATGGGAAAAGGACCCACATGTACAAAAACATTTATGGCAGCTCTTTTTGTGGTGGCCAAGAATTGGAAATTGAGGGAATGCCCATCCATTAGAGAATGGCTGAACAAGAATGGAATACTATTGTGATATAAGAAATGATGAGCAGGCAGACTTCAGAAAAACCTGGATATGAATTGATGCTGAGAGAAGTGAGCAAAACCAGGAGAACATTATACACAGAAAAAACACATTGTGCTATGACTAACTTTGATAGACTTAGCTCTTCTCAACAATGCAAGGAACTAAGACAACTCCAAAATACTCATGATGGACAATGCTATCCACATCCAGAGAAAGAACTCTAGAGTCTGAATGCAGATGGAAGTGTACTATTTTTGCTCTCTTTTTCTGTTGTTTTGTTTTGTTTCTTCTTTCTCAGGTTCCTCCCACTGGTTCCAATTCTTCTTTACAACATGACTAATGTGAAAATATGTTTAATAGGAACGTATAAGTAGAACCTAGATCAGATTGCACGCCATATTAGGAAGAGGGAAGGGGAAGGAGGGGGAGAAAATTTAAAACTCAAAATCTTATGGAAGTAAATGTCGAAAACTAAAAATTAAAAAAAAAAGAATGTTATCATTATTTGGGTAGCTTGAAAGGGCGGGTTTGTGGTTGAATCAAGTACAATGGGAAGATCCTAAAAAATAAAAGTGGGTAGGAAGAGGTAAAATGCAGCAATTATCTCATACAAACGAGGCATGAAAGGATGAACTATTATAGTGGAGGCAAGAAAGGACATGGTAAAACTTGAACCTTATTCTCACCAGAACTGGGTTAAAGAGGGAAACATACACTTCTGGAATGGTGTAAAAGTCTTAACTTAGAGAAACAGGAGGGTGAGGGGACAGGATAAGGGAGGGACTTTTAGAAGGAGTGTGGGATTAGAGAGGGAATTAGAAATTTAAGGAGACAGGGTAAAAAGAGAAGGATAAACTGCGACAAAAAATAGATTGGTGGGAGATGTAGAACTAGTAACTATAACTCTAAATGTGAATGGGATGAACTCATCCATAAAATGGAAACAGTAGAATGGATTAAAAACCAGAAACATTTTAAAATGACAGACAGACATAGAGTAAAAATAAAGGGACAGATTTGAATTCAGTATGCTTCAGGTGATGTAAAAAAAAAAAAGGCAGGGGTAGCAATTATCTCAGACTAAGTTAAAGCTAAAATAGATTTAATTAAAGATAAACAGGGAAACTACATTATGACAAAAGGTGGCATAGATAATACAGAATTGTGTTGGAATACTACTGTATTATAAGACGTGATGAGCTGGTTGATTTTAGAAAAGCATGGAAAGACTTGCATGCAACAATGAAAAGTGAAATGAGCAGACCCAAGAGAACACTGTACATAGTAATAGCAACATTGTTCGAAGAATTATTGAATTATACTAGCATGTTTGGAAGATATAAGAATTATACTGGCATGCTTAGAAGGCCCTGACCCTGCCCCATCCTGGCTTCTCAGCTGCCCCAACTTCCTTTAACACTCAGCTCAAGCCCGTCTCTCCTGTCTCTTTGAGGAAAAAGACCCTCCTTTGTCTTTGTAACCCCAGTGTGCAGCACTACTCCTGACACATGGTCATAAATGCTTGCTTGATTTCACTTGCTGAAACTAAGATTATTCAAGTCTTCTTCGGACACAGAAAAGGAGAAGGGGGCAAGAGACAAAAATAAACAACTGCGAACACAGGCAATGAAAAAGCTTTTGAACGAAATGAACACACAAATGGATTTGTGAAAGATGCCTCCACTCAGGTGGATGGTAATCTGTCCCTCTCCATCCCACGGGATCCTTGATCTGCTCCTCCCTTCAGTGTTCTACAGGAGGCACATCCAATGGATCTGAGCCTCCTTCAATTTCAAGCCAAAAGATCCCCCCCATCAGCCATCTCTCCTCCTTCCCCCAGCTGTGTGACCAGTCATTCACAAACTTTGATGTCTCCAAAGTGACACAGAAGTAACTGTCTACTCACAAAAGTTATGCCAATGAAGCTGAAATGCTAGTGAGCTGGACCATACTAGAAAGGCTTTGTGTATGGCCCCAGGAACATCTTGAGCCAGTTTGCAAGCTAAATAGCCTAGCTACTTGGTAAGGAGGGTTTTGGTTAAGGAAACCCCTAAAAAAAGAAAAATACAAAAGGGCCCCTAATGCTGTGTGGCTCCCTTGTACTTCTGAAGACTGTAGAAGAGTGGTGGGAAAGGTCCTAAGAGTCACATCATTTTAAACAGTCTACAAACAATAAATTCACCCCTGACTTTCTCCAACAACCAGCAAGTGGGTTACAGGGTCTTACAGGAGAAGCTGAATTACCTAAACCTCAAAATGTTTACCCTAAACCAGAGGTTCCCTTTGGTGGGTCCAGGAGCCCCTTAGGAGATCATGCCAAAAGTCAAATACTTTTAACAGCACCCAAAGCAGTCAGTGATTGCCTTAATTCAGTTACAAATATGTGGTAACATCTGTGGTAACAAGCACGGGCCTGTTTGAAGCAGTCTATGTTTGTTTCAGCAATGATCCAAGACTGTCACAATCACACACAAAATTATTCTGGTGATCCCAGAACGCCGATATCAAGCTCTACCCAATTCTGAGCACGTGCACCATGCTCAGACAGTTTCTGCACCTGTCAAGGGTCAGACGCTGCAGCACAAACCAATTTCCAATGGACGGTCAGCACGTGCACACCCACCACCCACAAGACTGGCATCTTGCCTCAGCTGTGTCATCAGGTGACCCCACACATGAGGAGCACCGGCATTCCTGCAGCCCCGACATGCTGGGTGTGCAAACGTTCCAAGTCACATTGAAACCACCGTGAACCGTGACAAACGTTCTGCAGAAACAAACCTTCTGCTGGTCCTCACTGCAGCATTTAAAGCTGTTGTCCGATTTCAACTTACCCTTGCTTATGTTACTAGCCTTCTCACTGGTAGATTTTCAAATTAACTGAGTGGCAGCCCTGGTCAGGCACTCAGTGAAGTTTCTCTGGGAATACAGCCAGTGAGCCACTGGTATGAGGGTGGAGGGAGATCATATCTGAGGAAATTTTTCCCTTACAAAGGTTAGTTTATGTAGAAATACTTTAAAAAAAACAGCAACACAGGCAACTATACTTTAAATACATTTATCATTTAATATTGTGTTTGTCATGAGACAGTAGAAAAGTTAATCTTTTACGTTGTAACTATTTTCATCAACTGGTTACAAGAGTAAAAATTTTTTAAAAATCATTTCTATTTCTTAGCAAAAAAGCTTAGAAAATTTTCCTACTATATCCCATCATATTTGGGTGAGCAAGTATTTTCCTTTGATTCTTGTTTTAAATCAAAATACAGAAACAAACTCGATGCAGACAGTTAAAATTCTTTGTCTAATGTTGAGCCAAATACTGCAAACTTCTGCACAAATTAAAATTTAGTCCAACGGTGAAATTAAGCTTATGTATTACTTTGTTAAACATCTTCCATGTTGTAATTTGCTTCATTAAAAAGGTTATTTATATTCAAAAACTCTGTAAAATAAATTGAATATTGACTCTTGTAGATAACAGTAAGCACATGAGGTCTTACAAGACTACTTCTTCTAATTCTTATAGAATGTCCCACAGAAACATTCATAATTATTTGATCATCAGTTTTATAATTTTATAGTTTTCATAATTACAGGTAAAACAAAAGCTTATATTTTATAATTATGATTATATAATAAATGTTAACTTGGAGCTTTAAGGTGCAAAAATTCCCCTATTTCTTATAAACACTTAATGATTAAATCTAAAGTAACACGATTAGCAGAATATGAGGTTACCCTGCAGGGCTCATCTCGTCACTGAAAGGGGTTCATGGAACAAGAAACACTGGCAACCACGACTACTCTAAAGCCTATCAGGAGAAGGAGACTACAGTTATATGGAAGGCCAGCCCTCTGTACCGAGTAAGAAATAAGCCAAGTGGTTGTGAGCAGAGCCAGCCTGATCATAAACCTACAAGCAACATTTCTCTAAATATTCAGCCATCATGTATTGATCACAGCATGAAGAATAATCACTTGGGGGAAAAAAGTCAAGCCTAAGTACCATAAAATAATGCTGTGTCTGCGACAAAAATCCAGCTCCCGGTCACTGGGGCTGGTGCCCACCAGCCCCCAGCACTTCTTCCTCCTTTCTTGAAGGGTTCAGCAGTTTCACCACCTTCATCTTCCCCACCCCATCCTGCCCTTACCCCCTGTACAGTATCTGTACCGATGTTTCTGTGTCCCAAGTGCTCAGTGTCTTCAAACATTATCTGCTCCTTCCCCTGGTGGGAGCCATGGACAGGAATGGTCACACCCTGGATCTCACCATCACCCACGTGGCATCCGTTTCTTCAAAGACTCTCATGTTCCTCTATCCTTAACCTCCCATCATCCTCTAGATGGCTCTGTTTCCTCCACCTTCATCAAGGCCTCCTATCCCTCATCACTGCCTCAGGTCACTAGCTCCTTCCCCTTCAATGTGAAGCCCCAATCAGTCAATCCAACTCTCTCCCATCCTCACTCTCTAATCTTATTACAGCAGCCTCAGCCCAGGTGGTGGGCTCTGGGGAGAGTCCTGAGCATGACCCAGTTCTGTGCTTTGGAATACAGTTTGAGATCTGACACTACTGTGCCTCATTCCCTCTTACTCTCATCATCATTTCTCTAGATCTTGACTTTTTTTTGTTTCTTCATGTATTTTTCCCCATAACTCACTAAAGTAATCTTCTGGTAGTTTGGAATGGAAGTACCTTGATAAGTAATTTGATTCAGGCAGCACTGCTGTTTTTATTATATTGGTACAGCCCAGCAATTAGGAATTGCTATCACTCCATTTAAGGTTTCGTTATTTTTGTAGAGTGTTTCATGGTTGTGTCATATAGTTCTTCTCAGTCTTGGTGGTTGACTCCCATGTCATTATTTTCCTATGCAATACTTACATTTTCTACTTTTTCAGTCTTTTGACTTCGTTTTGAAATTTCTTGTCTCATGGATTTCCTGGCTTCTACTTGGACTGTTCTCATTGTCAGGGATTCCTGACTCCAGGGGCAGCACTCTGCCCACTGCACCACCTACTGGCTGTTGAGAACTAACTATATTCTTTGGCCTCTTGCTCTTTGCAGAATGGAGCTCTGTCCTACGGTTTCATGCCTCTTCCCAGTGCATTCTGGATGTTACACTTCTTGAAATTCTTCATTAGCTACATCCTGTACCGTTCAGCTCTCTGCTGGGTAATACTCTACAAATTTAAGACTCTCGGCTTGCATGTTTCTTTGCCACACAACGGTTAGAATGTGGATACTGAGTTTTTCACAGGAACCCTGGGGGTCATTAAAAGAGTTTTGTGCTTCCTGAAGGCAAGCCTCCAGCTCCTCTCTCTTCTTAGCTATGGGTTCATCTGTCTTGTCTCTCCCAAACGTCCATCCTGGTGGACGAGCTCTCTAGGACGGCTTGTCCATTTGTCCATTTGGGCCGCAGTGACTTTTAACTTTGTCATGATCTGCACAATTAATCTTCTTTTCCTCGTGGGTCTTTCTGGCGTGGATGCTCTGGCTAAACCCCTTTTCCTAGTTACAAATCACTTCCAGGAAACTTTGGAGCGATCCAGGGCTTGATGCCATTAGCCCTGACCTGTTGATTCTTTCAGACAAATCTCATTTTCCCTCCTCCATTGGAATTGTTTCCCATTATCACTTGAGAATTTCATTTTCCTAAGGGTCTACCATCCTGCTAGGCTGACTTGAGATCATTTTACTCTGACCTGTTTGAAATGTACTTTCCTCAAGTTCAGGGCTTCTTCTCCTTTCTCAGAAACTTTAGGGTGGAATTTGCTCTCCTCGCCCCTAAAGGTTCCCACAGTATTCCAGCAACCAGTGCTGCACTGTTGGTGAAAATCTGATCTGAAGTAGAATCTTTTTCTTGTTAATTCCTTCACCATTCTTGGAAGGATAAAATTATCATTAAGGTAAGTTTAAGAAATTAGTAGCTGCTTTGCTTTTTAAAAATATAATTTTTACCTCCCAGAATTTCTCCTAGTATTCTTCTTCCTTCCCTCTCCCAGAAAGCTATCTCATGTAACAAATGATTAGATTTTAAAGGGAAAAAAAAGAAAAAGAGGGAAAAAATAAAAATGAAGACTACATCCCCAGAGTCTGAGAAAATGTGCAATACTTAGTGCTTGTGGGCCTGCCCCCTCTGCATGTGTGTGGGGTGGGGGTGTTGACTCCCATCTCCTCTTCTTGGGTCCCAGTGTCGAGGGCTTCCTCCACCCGGTGTATGCGCAATTAAAGGAGAGGGGAAGGGAGTTGATGTGGGAGATTCTGAGGCAAGTACTGCCATCAGCAGCCCTCATTCCACCTCACCCACTAGAAATGTTTGCATTGAAAAGGCAGATGTGGATGGGCAGGTTATCTGACTGAAGTACATTTCCAAACAGGATCAGCCAGTGGGAGACTGGGAGGTGATGTCTGTTACAAATCTGTACTTTAAGAGATTTATTGGATGCAGACCAGAATGTTCCAATTTGGGCTGCTCCCACTTACCTCCTCTGGATGAACTGGTCCTCGGAGGGTACTGGTAAAGATGTGAAGGCTAGATTCAAAAATACTCTGGGAGGGGAGGTTGCTCCGACGAGTTCGGTCTTCAAAATCACTTTGCCCAAAATAAGGCCCCAGACGCCAGGGCATCCAAGAGAAGTTGTGCAAGTTATGAAAATTACTCAAACCAAGTCTCTTCCTCTTAAACATAAGCATCAATAATGGCCATCTTACAAGAGCATTATGGATAAGGTTTCTTTTACAAAACTTTTGTTTTGTAGTATCAAGAAGGAAGTTAAGGCAGCTGCCCCGCCCCCAGCTTAAAGCAGCACAGTAAGGAACATCTAAATGCTTTATGCTTTTGGGGAAAGCTCAGCACTGTACATGGGTAAGGGTTACGCAGAGGAAGAGCCAGAGCAAGCATTACCTACAATGGGAATAAAACAGAAGCCTTTCCAAGAAGATCAGGGTTGTGAAGCAAAGATGCCCACGGCCACCACTATTATTCAATATTGTATTACAAATGTTAACTATAGCAAGGAGAAGAAAAAAATTTTTAAATTTAACAAATTAGAACAAACAATGAAGAAACAAAACCATCACTCTTTGCAGATGTTAGGATGATATACTGAGAGAATCCGAGAGAATCAACTAAAAACTACTTGAAATAATTAACCTCCAGCAAAGTTGCAGGATATAAAACGCCCATATAAATCATCAGTATTTCTATATATCACCAACAAAACCCAGAAGAGATGAGTTAGAAAGAGAAATTACACTCAAAATAACTACAGAGAAGTATAAAATACTGTCTATGGGAGTCTATCTGCTAAGACACAGAATGATCACAATTAGAAAACACTTCACACAAATAAAGTCAGATCTAAACAAGTGGAAAAATATCAATTGCTCATGGGTGGGCCAAACCAACATAATAAAAATAACAATTCTATCATTTACTTACTCAATACCGTACCAATCAAACCAACAAAGAACTATTTCAAAGAGCTAGAAAAAATAACAAAATTCATCTGGAGAAATAAAAAGGAATCAATGGGAAAAAATGGAAGAAGGCAATCTAGCAGTACCAGATCTCCAAACGTGGTTATCATCAAAACAATATGGTACTTGGTAAGAAACAAAGTGGTGGATCAGTGGAATAGACGGGGTACACAATACACAGAAATTCATAAATGATCATAGTTACCTAGTATTTGATAAACCCAAAGATCCAAGCTATTGGGGTGATAACATCATTTGGCAGAAAGTGCTGGGAAAACTGGAAATCTGTCTGACAGAAACTAGGCACAGACTAACATCTCACACAATATGCAAAGATAAGATCAATATGGATGCATGACTTAGACATGAGGGGCAATATGAGAAAATTAGGGAAACACGGAAAAATGTTTGTCAGATCTACGGATAGCGGAACAGTTTAGGACCAAATGAGAGAGAGAATCATGGAAGGTAAAACGGACAATTTTGATTAGAAGAAATGAAAAGGGGTTGCACAAACAAAACCAATGCAACCAACATTGGAGGAAAGGCAGGAAACTGGGGGGGCGGGAATTTTTACATCAAGTTTCTTTGATAAAAGGTCTCATTTCTCAAATATTAGAGAGCTGAGCCAAATTTATAAGAATAATTTCCCAACTGATAAAAGGTAAAGGCTATGAACAGGCAGCTTTCAGAAGAAGAAATAGTCGTATGAAAAAAATACTGTGAATCAACTACTGATTGGTGAAATGCAAATTAAAACAACTTTGAGGTACCACCTCACATGTATAAGATTGGCCAAAAGCTGGAGGGGATGCAGAAAAACAGGGACTCTAATGTATTACTTACTACTGGTGGAGTTGTGAACTGATTCAACCCTTCTAGAGAACAATGTGGAACTAAGGTTATAAAACTTTATACCCTTTGACCCAAGCAATACCACTACTAGGTCGGTATCCCAAAGAAATCAAAGGAAAAGGAAAAGGACCAATTTGTACAAAAAATATTTATAGCAGCTCTTTTTGTGGTGTCAAGGAATGGGAACCTAGGGAGATACCTATCAACTAGAGAATGGCTTAACAAGTTGTGATGTATGATTGTGATGAAATACTACGACTAGTGAAATACATTTCACTAAGAAATGAAGAAAGGGATGGTTTCAGAAAAACCTGAAAATACTTATATGAATTGATGCAAAATGAAAAGAGCAGAACCAGGAGAAAAATGTACATAGTAACCGCAACACTTAACAGTAACCAACTGTGAAAGACTTGCTACTCTGATCAACACAAGGTTCAAGACAATTCCAAAGGACTTGTGATGAAACATGCTTTCCACCTTGAGAGAGAAAAACTGATGGCCTCTGTACGCTGAAGCATTTCCTTATTTTTCCCGGTTTTTCTTTTCCCCATGACAAGGCTAAGGTGAAAATATTTTCCATGACTTCACATGTTTAAAAAAAAAAAAAAACAACTTAGGATGATTGTAAGTCAAAATAAACAACTTAAAACGTGCATCTGTAAAGGCCAACTTAAATGCATGGAAACAACCCAACAAGCTCAACTATCCATCCCTGCTCATCAAAATCACCGTCTAAAGAAGGCAGCAACAGGCCAGCTGCTGTTGAAGCTCTGGTCCAGGTTTCCCCAAACTAATTTACTGCCCTAAGATTTCCACTAGGAGCAAAAGAAACGACCCCATGGAAGGGGGACAGTGAGCAGGATAAAGAGGGAGGCGGAAAATTGTGCAGGAACTGTTCCTAATGTCGAGCAAAGAAAACTCCCACTTTTTTCAATGCAATCCTAGACCCTCATTTCCCACCAGACAACCA